TGCCCTGAGAGCGTCCCGAGATGCTGCGGGGTGTCCATGGACACTCGGATGCAGCCCAGGTTGAGTTACCCACTCTGATCCCCCAGGACATGCACAGAATCATGGGATTGGTTTGGGTTGGAAGGGACCTCAAAGACCATCCAGTGCCAGTCCCAACCCCCTGCATGGGCAGGGACACCTCCTACCAGCCCAGGTTGCTCCAAGCCCCATCCAACCTGCCCTTCAACACTGCCAGGGATGGGGCAGCCACAGCTTCCCTGGGCAACCTGGGCCAGGCTCTCACCACCCTCACACCCAAGAATTTCCTCCTCATGTCCAACCTCAGTCTCCCCTCTCCCACTTTTAATCCATCCCCCCTTGTCCTCTCCCTCCCTGCCCTTGTCCCAAGCCCCTCCCCAGTTTTCCTGGAGCCCCTTCAGGCACTGGAAGGTGCTCCAAGGTCTCCCTGGAGCCTTCTCTTCTCCAGGCTGAACACCCCAACTCTCCCAGCCTATCTCCAGAGCAGAGCTGCTCCAGCCCTCAGATCATCTCTGTGGCCTCCTCTGGGCTTTCTCCATGCAAAAATGGTGGTCCTAACCGCCAGTAAAGGGGACATGCAAGGTGACAGGGTGACAGATGTCACCTACCCATGGGTGAGCAGGGCCGGGGGCTGCCCTGGGGGCTGCTGGCCACACTGCTGGGCTCACTGCTGGCTGGGAAGGGCTGGGCTTTCTCCGGGGTGTTTGGAAACCTCCTCTTTGGCTGGAGGAAAGATGGGTGGGAGGTGAGATAAGGATCCTTTGTCCCCTTCTTGGGATGTCTCCTGGGGCCACTCACCGAGTCACATCTGTGCCTGGGGGACTCGTCATCTGGGTCCTCAGCTTCTGTCTCGCTGTAACAGTCTGGAGCCATGGGGAGAGGACAGTGGGAACAGAGGAAAGGCCCCAGGCTGCCCTCCCAGCCCCCCAGGGCTGAGCAGCCCCCCTGACCCCCCACTAGGACCCCCATCTCCTGTGGGGGATCCAAGCCCCATCTGCCACCCTGGGAGGGGCTCTTACCTTCCTCCCTGTCAGGGACCGACTGGTTGGCCAGTGTGTACTTTGTTTTGGCTGTTACCAGGTGACTGACCCACCTGGGGACAGAAAGGATGGACAGACAGACAAGAGGGTCACAGCCAGCCCTGGGTGGTGGCACCAGCAGGGGCTGTCACCAGCCAGTGAGTTACTCACATGCTCAAATCAGCCAGGGTTTCTGCAGCAAAGACAAAGGGCTTGTACCTCTGGTGGGAGAGCTGGAACACGCTGGAGGAGACAAGTGTTGGTGCTGGGGCTGCCCAGCAACAAAGCTAGCCCCGAGCTCCCCATCCAGCCCCCCCCAAATCACAGATTCCCCATCCTGACCCAGTCCAGAAGTTGGGGCTTTTCCCTGGCATCAGAGATGCTCCAGTCCTCAGCCCCAGCTCAGGTGGCACCAGGACACTGCATGTCTTGCTCAGTGCTCCTGTATTGCACCACAGCCAGTCCTACCAGCACTGCAGGGACCCCACCAGCCCCATGGGGACCCCACTACCACCACAGGGACATGCAGGTGGTACCCAGCAGGACACACTCCCTTGGGACAGCATCCTCCCCTCCTCAACCATCTGGGAGGTCCATGATGAGACAGACCCCACTCACTATTTCTTCTTCTGCTCCCTGGTGCTCTCCAGGTCATAGGTGGCCACGTTGATGAGACCCACGGCCTTTTCATCCTGCAAGGGACCCACAGCCACGTCCACCACCGGCCTCGGCTGCCCGAGGTGGGGCTGGAGGGCACCCAACCTACCCCCCACTCACGTTGGGGTGGTGGTACCAGTAGAGCGTGTGGCCCTTGAGCACGAACCAGCAGCGTTTCCACTTCTGGGCCATGAAGCCCACGTGGTCCTTCTTCCTGAGGAGCCAGCCATCGCAGTCCACCCGGCCCAGGTCCCGGCCCGAGACCCGCCGGCGGCTCAGCCTGGTGGCCACTCCTGCTGGCCACAGGGGGGGGGGGGTCAAGAGCAGGGAAGGGGGAGAAGAGGGGAGAGCCTGGGAACCCCGTTGGTCCCAGCCCAGCAGGGTCCTGCTCACCTTTTGGTCTGCGTCCCGTCCGGGGGCTGCCCTGGATGGGGTGACAGGGACAAGTAGTTGGGGAGGACGCAGGGGGGTGCTGAGAGCCTGGTGGCCACTCCTGCTGGCCACAGGGGGGGGGGGGTCAAGAGCAGGGAAGGGGGAGAAGAGGGGAGAGCCTGGGAACCCCGTTGGTCCCAGCCCAGCAGGGTCCTGCTCACCTTTTGGTCTGCGTCCCGTCCGGGGGCTGCCCTGGATGGGGTGACAGGGACAAGTAGTTGGGGAGGACGCAGGGGGGTGCTGAGCTGAGCCCCCCACCCACAGCAGCACCCACAGCCCCTTAAGGGCCCCTTAAGGACCCCCAACTGGCAGCAGTGAGCAACCCACTGAGGCATTTTGGTGTAAGTCCTGCATGTCCCCCCCT